TGCAGCTCCCCATGCTTGTGCGCTCTCTCAAGTAAATAACATCTTTGGGGCACCTGGGGGGCTCAGTGGTTGAGCATCTGCCTTCAGCTCAGGGCATGGTCCTAGAGCCCCAGATCCAGTGCCTCTCCCCCTTGAGGAGCTTCTCCCTCTGCCTGTGTCTCTGCCTTTCTCTGTGTCAGTCATGAATAAATAAAATCTTAAAAAAATAAATAAAATCCTTTAAAAAATAAAAAATAACACTCCTCATGTGACTCTTAATCTTGGGTTGTGAGTTCCAGCCCCATGTTCGGTGTAGAGATTACGTAAAAATAAAATGACATTCGTTGTCCGAAGCAACTCCAGTAGGGGGCAGAGGTCTCGGGGCTCTAAGCGAACCACCCCCCTGGAGCCTGGAGGGGTAAATACTTGAAGGCGCGGCTGCTCTTCCTCGGAGCCTCCGCCTGCATACATCCTACCTGTTCACACCCACGGGACAAGGAGCCCTTTACACTGAGAAGCTACAGAGCCCCCCCCCCCCCGGGGGTGGCTAGGAATGCACCTGTAGGGGTGGGGCGGGGTGGGGGGGAGACCTATGCCTTTTCTGAAGTTGCCACAGAGGTTCTCCGAAGCTTTAAAACTCCCATAGGTTAGAGATTTGCATCTGCAGTATAGGGCAATTTGTTTATATTAAAAAGTCTGACAATCAGTTCTGGACTCTGGATTAGGGTCAGTGACTGGGGCAGTTATTTGGGTCAGAACCTTGAGTTGAATTCTGCTGAGAGTTTCCTCACCTGTTAGGCCAGGAGCCTGAGGGAGGGAGCGGATCCGTCATGCTCCAAGGAGGGGAGGGTGTGCAGGGCACCCAGAGGTCATTCCTGTGACTGCTCAGGTGTCCTTACCCTCCGTCACCAGGGACTGAGCCACTCCAGGGCTTCTGTCTCCACCAGGAGAGTCTAGAATGTGGAACCTTCTGAATGTGGCTTCCTTCTGTCCTGTGTTCCGGAAGCAGGCTGCTCATCTGTGCTGAGTCCAGGGTTTCTTTCCTTTGGATTCCTTTATTGATTGATGAGGGCAGCCCTTTGGCTCTGGTTTCCCTCAGCACTTGGGCTTTTTTTTTTTTTTTTTTTTTTTTTTAGATATTTATTTATTTGACAGAGAGAGACACAAGAACAAAATCACTGAGAACCTCTCCTGGTCCCCCCAGTGCTGTTACTCCAGCCACCCTCCAAATATACTGTGCTGATCAATTCGTGAGCCTCCTGTTTGGGTTTCTTCATTTAAAATCAAGCAATTGGGCAGCCCTGGTGGCTCAGTAGTTTAGCGTCACCTTCGGCCCTGGGTGTGGTCCTGGGGTCCCGGGATCGAGTCCCAAGTGGGGTTCCCTGTGTGGAGCCTGCTTCTCCTCTGCCTATGTCTCTGCTTCTCTCTCTGTGTCATGAATAAACAAATAAAATCTTGAAAAAAAATAAAGTCAAGCAGTTGTGGGACGCTCGGGTGGCTCAGGGCGTGATCCCAGGATCCGGGATTTAGCCCTGGGGAGCCTCTGCCTCTCTCTGTGTGTGTCTCTCGTGAATAAATAAATCTTTAAAAAAAAAAGAATAAAAGCAAGCAATTGTGAATACATGTTTTTCTAATGCACTTATTCATCGTAACGAGCAGTCAGACTTTGTATTTTTGGGTGTTTGAGTGCTGACAGCTTAAGCCTCATCCCGCCCTCTGTGCTCCCCCACATCTCCACCCTCACCCCTTGTGCTCTCAGCTGGAAGAGCCGATGAGGGGGATCCCTGGGTGGCTCAGTGGTTTGGCGCCTGCCTTCGGCCCAGGGCATGATCCTGGAGACCAGGGATCAGGTCCCGTGTCAGGCTCCCGGTAGGGAGCCTGCTTCTCCCTCCGCCTGTGTCTCTGCCTCTCTCTCTCTCTCTCTCTCTCTATGTCTATCATGAATAAATAAAGAAGATCTCTTTAAAAAAAAAAAAAGAGCCGATGATCAAGCCTCGGTGGTCTCCTCTCTCACGTCCCACAGTGAACACTCAGCCAACTGTCCTTCCTTGCATCCTGAAGCATTTCAGAGCTGCTTGAGAGACCGGCCTACCTTCCCCTGATAGTCCTGTTCTGTGGACCCTAGGCATGTTCCTACCCTCTGTGAGTGTGTGTGTGCGTGTCAGGGCCAGGGGGAGGGGTGTTCACTGTCATCTATCTTAACACTTGAGCCACTCCTGTGCAGGTGACCATAATTATTGGCCCCCATGAGCCTTGTCCAGACATGACTGCTATGCTGTGGATCTGCTTCTCTTGCTCTGACTTGCTCACCTGCTCTGATGCCTGATGGCAGCATGTTCTGGGGGGGCTCCTTGCTAGAAGCTCCTGCTGTCACCAGTGCTGCCCTCCCCCTGTGTCGCACTGGTGACCCTCCCAAGCCTCAGTTCTGTGTTCAGCCTACCAGAGTTGGCAGTTTACAAAATCCCTAGGTATTTGAGAGAAGGCGTGTAAGACTGAGGCCCTCCTTAAAGTGGTCCTGGTAGATGTATTTGCTGGTTTATATCTGTGTTAGGGTGAAGCTGTGACCTCTGTCACAGAGGCTGGGTTGGCCCCGTATCCCTGAGGGTGGGGTGGCCCAGGAGACTGTATCCTCCCATCCCAAGAGGGCCCATCAGGTGGTCACTCTTGAAATAGTCATTTATGTAGAGAAATTAAAGGTCAAAGGCAGCCAGCAGGTGGCAGGTTGAGTCCACACTCCTGCTATCAGGAAGTTGGTTGAGACCCTTCATTTATCTCTGCTACTTCGGCCCCTGCCTCTACTGCAGCAGAGATCCTGAGCCTCAGGCTCCGGGGGACAACACTCAGGGTCCCCCTGGCCCAGCAAAGGGATTAGTTCAAAGTTGACATAAACGCATGGTCCTTAAACCCAGTAAAGTGACCAGTTGTCATGGGAGAGACTCCTAACCCTGATGGTGCTGCTTGGAGGCTCTGGAGGGAAAATGTGTAAATACCAGGGTAGAGAGGCACCCCCTCCCGTGAAGTATATCTAGTGACAAAGAAAAGAAAACAGGGATGGTCAAGAATAAGGAACTAATAGATAAAATACTGAAACAAAAGGGCAGCCCGGGGATCCCTGTGTGGCGCAGCAGTTTGGCGCCTGCCTTTGGCCCAGGGCGCGATCCTGGAGACCCGGGATCGAATCCCACGTCGGGCTCCCGGTGCATGGAGCCTGCTTCTCCCTCTGCCTATGTCTCTGCCTCTCTCTCTTTCTCTCTCTGTGACTATCATAAATAAATAAAAATTTAAAAAAAAAAAAAAAGGGCAGCCCGGGTGGCTCAGCAGTTTGGTGCCACCTGCAGCCCAGGGCCTGATCCTGGAGACCTTGCATAGAGTCCCACGTCGGCCTCCCTGCATGGAGCCTGCTTCTGCCTCTGCCTGTGTCTCTGCCTCTGTGTGTCTCATGAATAAAAAAATAAAATCTTTAAAAAAATAAAATAAAGTACTGAAACAAAAGACCAGTTCGACAAATTGGAAATCCAGAAAACACTCAGTTTCCATTTGGCCCCAAGGAGAGGAGGGTGTTTGGAAACTTTATTTACATGACATAGCAGATAAAGGCACACTGCTTGGTTTTTAGCCTCTGCAAGGTAAAATTCTGGATTAATTTTGCTCTCTGATGTAATGCACTAATTCAGAAACCTTCAGTTAATCAGTACTTGGTCTCTGGGTGCCTGGGTGGCTCATTTGGTTAAGCAGCTGCCTTTGGCTCAGGTCATGATCCTGCCTAGGACCGATCCCTCCCCACCCACCCTTGTCAAGCTCTCTGCTTAGCTGGGAGTCTGCTTCTTCCTCTCCCTCTGCCCCTCCCCTGCTTGTGGGCTCTCTTTCTCTCAAATAAATGAAATCTTAAAAAGAGTGAAAGAGAGAGAAGTTTATTGAATACACTGCAAGGGAGCAGTGGGCAGGACAGCAGAGTCTGTCCACCTCAAGGCAATGGTGAGTGGTCACAGATATAGGGTAGTTGTAATTGGTCAGTTAGGGCCCATTGCTATTTCAAGGTGGGTCACTGAATAGGCCTATTTCATTTAGCTCCATGGTCACTGGGGGCAGTTTCCTTTGCTTAAGTTTCCACTGCTCAAGCCTGTTGCCTGAAAGCGGCCTCTATGATCCTGTCTAAACCCCCATGGTCATAGCACCCACTGTCCTATAATAACTCTTAGTGAGCTGGGAAGCTCTGAACAAATGATTTGTAAACTAAAATTAAAGAAAGCCGTTGCCACTTACAAATGATTTTGGAAAAATGGGACCCCATGAACCTTATCCTTCAAATAAAGTGGCTAATATGGTCCAGTGGAAATTGCACTGGCCCTTGAAAGGTTGAAACCATATACAAGGCCTATTTGGTGAAGGATGGATTATTACTGGTATCTCTCCTTTGAGCAGCCGAATTTGGCCTGTTCTTAGATCTGGAAGGAACAGATGAGACCTCCCAGTGGATTATCACCACCACCCTGTAGCTGTGGCTGTGGCTGTACCCAACAGACCTCTATGCCTAGTCCCTAGCTCTATGGAAATTACCAACACCCTCGGATCAGCAACAGGCAGCTATCACCCCATCGTGGATTCAGCATGGTCTGTTCTGTTCAGTGCCTGTCTCAATAGCCTTCACTTTGAAGGGACATGATACACCTTTACTGGGTTATCCTCATGGATCTTCAACAGCTTTGCCCTCCCACAGTCATTGCAGGCACGATTGGAACTGCATCCCAGCTCTCCAAGAAAACAGGTGCCACATTACATTCGTGACATCGTCCTCTGACAATATTCAGGACACACAGTTACTGAGAAGAGATGACAAAAAGCTATGAGACCTTGCCACATGTGTAATTGAGGCTCTGACAATTTGTTATATTTCTGGAAATGACTTGCTAATCTGAGGCACCCTGCTCCTTCCAGGATGCCATGAAGAAATACCTGACGTTCTCACCAGCACCTACAACATCTACTGATTTATTTTGCTATTTCTTGTTTATAATTTTTTTTAGGGGAAAGCACGAATGCCCCCACTACCACAAATTATATAGTCTAGTTTCCCACATTTGAGGAAATCATGGGGGCCAGCACATCCGGAGTGCAATGAATCAGCCTTGCCCTGGGAAAACCACCTTCATAATCCTGGTGTCTCCCCTCCCAGGTTTACAATTTTTTTTTTTTAACCCATTTATGTTGTTACTTGCAAATGGGCCCAGCATGACTCAACACTCTTACCACAAAATGCTGGAGATTTTTCAAACTGCCAAGCAACTGGCACCCAGGGTAGCACCCACAGAGACTCTTCTACGGAGGCTTCACTTACTTCCTCGCTAGTCTCCTGGAGTCATCCAAGATGGTCTTAAGAGATCCATTGTCTTCTGGTGTAAAAATATGCCCTTAGGCCCTTTACTATAAGTCATTAACAGAGTAATACCTCCACTAAGCAAGAGCTATTTACTTTGTGGATAGCTCCCTGTGACCACCTATCCCACCTTCCTTTTTGCCTTGGGCCCTGGAAACTGGACCTTAGAGGCTCAGATCACTACCCAGACTCTCCCTGAAACGTGATGGAGCCAAACCTTGGACCTCTGGGATAGCCATCTGCAGGAGGGAGTGCCCTGCCCTTCTGCAAACTCTTGTCTGACACCAAGGTGCTGGAGGAGGTCTCCTCTTTCCCAGACTTCTGGGCTTCCTGGGTAGCTCCTTAGGAGTACCTCAGTGAAAAACAATGGGACTTAGTGGAAGCGGAGGTGGGTGGGGGGTTGGAGTGACTGGGTGATGAGCACTGAGGGGGGCACTTGGCGGGATGAACACTGGGTGTTATGCTATATGTTGGCAAATTGAACTCCAATAAAAAAAAATTTAAAAAGAAAAAAAAAAAAAAGAAAAGGAAGTGCCCGCCCTATCTGCATAGCACATACCCTATTCCAGGCACTTCCCGAGTACTAGTGCGTTTAAGTGGAGCACAAGCCCCCCCCCCCCAAAAAAAAAAGAAAAACAAAAACAAAAACAATGGGAGTTCATAGCCTTTGAGACAATATCACCACATTCGTACATGATGGAGCTCAGGCCCACCTGTTGCTTTTCATTTTTTTTTTAAAGATTTTATTTATTTATTCTTGAGAGACACAGAGAGAGAGAGAGAGGCAGAGACACAGGCAGAGGCAGAAGGAGGCTCCACACAGGGAGCCCAACACGGGACTCGATCCTGGGTCTCCAGGATCAGGCCCTGGGCTGAAGGCAATACTAAACCGCCAAGCCATCCCGGGCTGCCCTTTCATTTCTTAATTAGGATATCCCTGATGGGGCAGACCAAGTGGCTCGGCGGTTTAGCACCACCTTCAGCCCAGGGTGTGATCCTGGAGACCTGGGATCGAGTCCCACATTGGGCTCCCTGCATGGAGCCTGCTTCTCCCTCTGCCTGTGTCTCTGCCTCTGTGTGTGTGTGTGTGTGTGTGTGTGTGTGTGTGTGTCTCATGAATAAATAAAATCTTTATAAAAAAAAAGGATATCTCTGATGAAGGACTGGACCCAGGGGTCATCACACTTGGCCACACATTAAGATGTTATCTTAGTATGTACTAACGATGGATAGTTGGAACAGGCAGGCAGGGACAGGATGCCCCAACCCCTCAAGAGGAAATCACCTTTTTAAAAAAAGATTTGATTTATTTATTCATGAGAGACAGAGAGAGAGAGAGAGAGAGAGAGAGAGAGAGAGAGAGAGAGGCAGAGACATAAGCAGAGGGAGGAGAAGCTCCATGCAAGGAGCCCGATGCAGGACTCAACCCTAGAACTCCGGTATCATGCCCTGAGCCAAAGGCAGACATTCCACTACTGAGCCACCCAGGCAACCCAACCTTTTTTTTTTCTTTTTTTCTTTAAGACCTTATTTATTTACTTGACACAGAGAAAGAGAGAACAAAAGCAAGGGGAGTGGCAGGCAGAGGGAGAGGGAGAAGCAGGATCCCTACTGAGTAGGGAGCCCCAACACAGGGCTCAATCCCAGGGTCCTGAGATCATGACCTGAGCCAAAGGCAGATGCTTAACTAACTGAGCCACCCAGGCAACCCCAACTTCATTTCTTTTTAAAGAGCAGTTAGGTCTTCAGAAAACTTGATCAGAAAGTGCAGAGACTTCCCACATAACCCCTCTGCCTGGACACCATCTATTACATATATATAAAATTTTTAATTTTTATTTTTTAAGTAAGTTCTACATCCAACATGGGGCTTAAACTCATGACCCCAAGATCAAGAGTCATATCCTCTACTGACTGAGCCAGCCAGGCACCCTCATTTATCCTATATATCTTGTGTTACTATGGTACATTTGCTACTCTGAAGAGCTAACTTTGAGGTATGAAAGAAAGTGCATAGTTTGCATTTGGGTTGACTCTATGTAACACTATCTCTGGGCTTTGGATAATGTAAAATGGCATGTCTCCATCATTTCTGTATCACAGAATACTTTCACTGTCCTACAAATCTCTTGTGCTCCACTAGTCATTCATTCATCCCTCCTGCCTGTCCCCAAATCCCTGGCAACCAAAGATCTTTTTGGTGTCTTATATTTTTAGCTTCCCCACAGTGCCAGCTTGGAATCATATAGTATGTAGCCTTCTCATATTGGCTTTTTTAACTTAGCAATAATTTTCAGGTTATTCCATGTCTTTGTGGCTTGATAACCTAATTTCTTTTCATTACTGAACAATATTTCATCCTATAAATGAACCAGTGATGGTTTATCCCTTTGCCTATTAAAAGATATCTTGGATTCTCTCCTTTTTTCCCCACCATCATGGTGTGGGCAGTTGACTATTCTTCACCCATGTCTTCTCACAAGACTTTCAGGATCAATTGATTCCTGGCCAAGAAACAAAAGCAGAATCTTCTATTCCCCAGAGGATTCAGATAAAGCCTAGTAATAAAATGAGGCACAACTCCAAAAGGAGGCACTGGAGAAGAACCCAGCTGGGTCTGTAAGAGAACTCATGTAAGATGGCACACATATTTATGCAACATGGAAGTCACGTGCTCATACCACTCTGTAAACATCCTTACTACTGGAACAGTAGACATATTTTGTTGGGGGAAATGATTTTTCTCTGTTCTATGTTTCTGTAGCAGTAGATTGGTTCAGTAATAAACATGTGAGACCTTTCTTTTGAAAAAAAAATATATATATTGGTTACATCTAAGTATAAAAAATAAAAAATACAAAAAATATCTGAACTTTTACAAAGGTATAATACTGATTTAAAATGTATAATGATTAAATGGAGAATACTGCAAGTTGCCATGAAAATTCAACTGGACATGTCCCCATAGGAAATAAGAAACATAATATTTCTTAGCATACAAAGGCATGGAAAACATAATATTTCTAAGAAAAAAGTATGGAAATATTCATTAGGGAAAAGCATGCACATACTTTTAATCACATAGAATCCAACTTAATTGAAAACATACTGGAGGAATTATACATGAGTAACACATTATGAGGAAGGTATCAATTTTCACAGGGAAGGACTAGGTCACAACAGTCACTACACAGTGCAGAAGAAGAAACACCCACATAGTTCTTTCGGACTGCACCATGTAGCTCTCATAGTGGAATCAGAAACACACAGTCACCAGGGGTATTAACAGAACAAGGTGTTTACTATATAAATTAGACCTTATCTAAATACAATCTAGAGAAAGGAGTAGTGCTTAGACCCTCAATCACGACTGTATAAATCTGTTTCCTGGTGGATGCATGACTTGCAGGAAATCCAAACTGTGCTAGATCTTCAAAGCTGAACTGTGGAAACAACTGTAGATCCCAATGCTCGGGTCAAATGGAAGTCTAGCAGGCAATGGTTGGTTTGGAGTATATGCTTGATTGACAGCACAAAGAATAAGTCTCCCTCTGCCTATGTCTCTACCTCTTCTGTGTGTCTCTCATGAATAAATAAAATCTTTAAAAAAAAGAAAAAAATTAAAAAATTAAAAAAAATTAAAAATAAATGGAAAATATCTTTTAAAAAGTATGTGGTAACTGTTATGAAACCAGGTTCTTCAAGCCAATGAAATGTAGTGTTTTATTAAGAAAGAAAATTGGAATTTATATATATATGTAAATATAAAAATGTAAAATCTTTTTTAAAATTTGCAATAAATGAAAGCTTTCCTACCGTGTTTACATTCATAGGGTCTCTGTCCAGTGAGCATCCTTTCATGCATTTGAATGGATTGACAATGGCTGAAGGGCAGTCACCCAGGCTGCCCTGATAAAAAATTTTCAATGAAAGTATTCTAAGAATCTGCAAATTTGAAGCTGGACTGATTTGTTTTATTTGCTTATTTTAAAATATCATGAACTAAAAAAAAAAAATATCATGAACTCTCTAGATTCTTTCCTGGACCTTGCTTTCTCATGTAAGTAGGACTCACCTCAGATTTGTCCCAGTATTTTCATCCTGACCTTCATTGTCATTTTTCTTCTAAAACGAACAATAGCCTTCTTCAGCATAAATTATAAAAATCTGTGGGATGCCTGGGTGGCTCAGCGATTGAGCGTCTACCTTTGGCTCAGGGTGTGATACCGGAGTCCTGGGATCGAGTCCCACATTGGGCTCCCTGCCAGAAGCCTGCTTCTCCCTCTGCCTATGTCTCTGTATCTCTCGTGAATAAATAAACAAAATCTTTAAAAAAATAAATTATAAAAATTTGTTTATTTTTATAAAATAAAAAGCAGAAGCAGAGGGAGAGAGAAAATCATAAGCAGGCTCCATGCCCAGCACAGAGAAGAAGCAGAGGGAGAGAGAAAATCATAAGCAGGCTCCATGCCCAGCACAGAGCCTGAGGCAGGTATCAATCTTACAACCCTGAGATCATGACCTGGGCCAAAATCTCATATAAATTATAATAAATATAATAATTAAATATATTTAATATTTAATATCTAATTACTAAATTATAACTTAATAAATCATAAAAATTATTTAAAATTATTAGATTCTAAGTCCATGAATAGCTATGATCATATGCCTTGTTTATTTGCCAACATATTCCCTTTCCACATTTCACTTCTGGAATAGCATAGATGAGCAACTCACACTGGTTCTTGAATGGACTCATAAGCAAGTAGGAATGCCATCACCCCTACCTATTTTTTTTAAAGAT